AAAGTACATTAAATAAAAATGAATATTCTGAATATTATGTCACGAATATAAATAGACAACCCACCACCTGGAAACCATCCTTTGCGCAGATCATATGGTAATCATGGATATTTTGAGAAAATGTATTGGGAGTTGAAAACCTGTTTTTGGTGGGAAGTCAAGTTTTTAATATTCTTGAAACACTAAAGTAGTGTGCAATTGTCACATTCATATATTTGCACGTGATGTTAAAATTCAGCACATGCTATACTATATGGTCGTTGGCACATTCTATAGTTAGTTATTCAAAAACAGGTATGCAGATGTGTTTCAAAAATAAAATTGAGATTCAACATTTTTCACTTCATTGAGTTCATGTTTATATCTATTTTCGTGGTTACTGTAGAATCTGGTGTGCTAGTGAGGGTCTTGTTGTAAACAGTCAGTCAGTTTCACTCAGGTATGATCAAATAAGTCGAGCAGTGTCCCGGCTAACGGTGATATAAAGCAGGCTTGCTGCTGTCTGGCTCGTAGCCTCTTAACTTTATCATTCAGTCAGTGGATGCCGGTAACAAAATAAAGTGTCAGGCTCACTTTGCCAACAATCCTGAAGAGAGAATGTCAGTTAACAGTTTCCAGAAACAGACACATTCCTGCTCACTTCTGAAAGGATGTTGCTGCTTTGATTTTGACTTTCACTGAAACAAGACCAGACACTCCCACTGTGTTTTGTGTGTCCACTCTCCTTCGAATAGCTGCAAATTACTCAGCCTCGGGGATTTGTCAAAAGCAGGAACTAGTGATGGTCTGGTATGTGACCATTAAAGCTGAAATACTGGACGAGATGTTTGTTTTAAATCATATCCCTATGAATGGATGAGTGTGAGAAACACAAAATACAGGAGATACTCTACTCCATGTCAGGTTGCAGCAGTCTTGTCCACTGTCTGATTGACAACGACAAACACTGTTGAACTTCAGTTTTACTATCCATCCATTTTCATTTTTTACAAAATATTTTTGACAAAGTACAAGTGACAATTTGAGCAATAAAGTGTTATCAGTGCTGAAACAAGTGTGATGTTAGAATTCATATTTTGTATTAAAACATCAAGTAACTTACATCATCACTGTTTCCTAAAAATATTTTTTGGGGCAAAGTTATAGAACGTTTTTTCACCGAAGCCTTTGTGTTGAGTAAGTGTGAGATCATCTGGCATTTTAAAATCTATTTATTTAATCCTCCCTCCCTTTGGCTCATGGACAGCACATGAAGTACTTAGCTTGAGATGACTGAAAAGGCAAATTATGTAATGTTCAAGTAAATGGCAACTTGCAAAATCATTATTTGCCAAAATATTTCTAAAAATAATTTATTTTTAATATTTGAATATGCTGCAGTCCAGTGACATATTGTGCTATTCAGGATTCAGTGATTGCGTTGGCCATCCATGTAGAAATAAATGTGTGTGATAAGTGATTTAACTAATTAATTATTTCTAACAAGAAGCCGTTGTCTGACATCATACAACAGAGGAAGCGCACATTTTATATTATATTATATTTGCCTGTATTTAATCAAAATGACACATACTATTATGTAGTAAAATGTACAAATCATTGTCAAAATATATCCAAATGTTATTAGTTATCTGGTTACTGTAAACAATATCAGAAAGTTATCTTCTCTGCAAAAACGTTATTTGGGTAAACATAATAAATAGGTCACGGTCAGCCATGTTTTTTGTTTTTCACTGTTTTTGCGTTGTGAACCTGGAACGCTTGGATGTTGACAATACAACTGGGGAAATTCCAACCTCGGAGTTGTCTGGAACACAGCATTAGATATAGCAGGTATGATGTGGAATCAGACCTAAACAAGGGCTTTGATATAGATAAAGTACGGATTAGAAACAGCCTGCCTGCTATGAGTTTTTATTCCACATCAAAACACAAATCTCAAAAGACTTTCTTTTTATTTTAGGCATCTGATGCTTCTATTGTGTGACAGGCACCGCCAAGAGAAAATTCATATTTCTATTTGCATACACATGCAGTGTTTCCCAAATGCCATTAAGCACATAGATTTGGATTAGCGCAAGGAACACCCAGAGGTACTGTATGTCTGTGTTTTTATACTCTGCTTAGGAGCGGTGACTTGTCGCGCAGTGTCAGAATCCATCAGCCTGTTCCTGACCTAGAAATTTAAGCACATATCTAATATCTGAGGAATGAATACAATGGATGTTTCCATTACTCCCCAAGGCTTTTGAGACCTCAAGAATAGCTTCTCTTCTCTTCTATTCTGCCTGTCTGTTTTCAAGTCAGAAGATAAATGAGCATGCTTTGATACAGCTTGCTGGGAAAAAGGAACATCAAAAGTCCCCATGGAGCCCTAAGCAAGGAAGCAAGGATGTGAAATAAAAAGGAATGGGACGGAGATCCAAATGTAATGCAGAGCGGCGCCATGTTTTATTAAACTAGGCTGTCCTACTCATATCCCTGGCCATTTCCCATAACCTTCAAAGGGTAACCTAATTTGCTCATGTTTCGCTAACAGACACCCCAAAATAAAATTATTGTTCAATGTTAGTTACGTTTTTGAAGTTTACTAACTAATTACTTTACCAATATTATCTCTTTTAAAGATTAACAATGTGCAGCATAAATGAATAATACTTAGTAATGGTGCTTTAATTAATGCTTAGAAGCCATACAAGTGAATGAGTGAATTACCAATGACTTGAAAACAAGTAATTAGCGTTGAAACATATGATATTACATTACCTTGCAGCCTGAATCATCATTTAATGAGGTATTCATAGAAGAGGTATTCAAAGAAGTCTGTACCACTACTTAAAAATCAAGATAAGACCATCATATGTTTAAAAAAGTCCATAGATTGTTTAATACAACATACCATATTCTCAACAATTCAACATCAACGAAACTTTGTTAATAAAAAAAAAAATCTGCATATTACCTTTATTGCACAGAACAATTTGAATGTATTTTCCATAGATTTCTTTTTTAGTATCTTTTTTTTTAGTAAAAAGTTGGCTTGGACTACATGTTCAATAGTCCAGGTTCAAAATAAAAAAAGGAATAACAGGAACAAAAAAAAAATACAGAATCCCGCGGTCACTCGGGATCAAAAAAGGCTAGGTACAGTAGCCACACTTTGAACAAAGAGAGCATTCATAATCAGCAAGAGGGAGAACCATGAGCCATATCCAGTGATTTTTTTTTTCCTTTATGCAAAACGGATTACACCAAAGCTGCTTCAGATTGCTCCATGGGTGAAACCATCTGTGTCACTCCAACCATCTGCATATTCTGTCCATACTTCCAGCCCATTACTGTGTCGTTGTCTGTAATGTCATCCATCATCAATAGCTTAGCCTTTATCCTCACACACGTTTGCAAAGCCCAGCTGTCCACAGTGTGTACTTGAAAAGGAAAGTCTGTAACCTCAGATCTTATATGCAGGACCAACTGGGAGCGTACTATTCACAGTTCTTTTTCCCCTGACAAACATTGCACATTTCTGGGGAATAGCGGACCTGGAAATTATCCTGGAAAGTAGTATTTCCATGGCCTTGACGAGGGGAGCATCGGCATAAATAAATCTTTGATTCCATTAAACAATCAAGAAAAAAAGAACCAACAATGAAATAAATTATTCTACAGCTTGAGGAGCACATTATATCCAAAAAACGTGAGCACCACAACTTTCATTCCTCGCAATCATGTTGAGCACAAAATAATTCCATTACATAATAGTTTTGGAAATGCAATTTTAAAAGTCAGGGATAAACGCTTATACTGAAGTATCAAGGTACTAATGCCAACCAGTCTGTTGGATGGTAAAGCCGTAGGATAGATGCTGCATCTATTGTTAGTACAGAGCCCCATCATATCATCAACATCTCACATTTCCTTCTGTATCATGCCCTCAATCCATGTGTGTGCACTGTCTGGGTTACATCTAAAAATTAGGGATGAGTGACGCTGATACTGATATCATATACAGGGTGCAAAATGCTTTATTAGAGTATTTCCTCAATGCTTGAATCTGATATTAAGAGCCTCATTAAGCAACAGGATTTGCTGCTAGTTTCCAACACTAAATGTTGTTATATTTGTCTATTCAAACATCATTTTTAAAGTACAGTTGTGAGAATTGGTATCAATAGTAAAAGTTGCACGGATGTATTTGTATATTACTCAATCTACATATTTACGGAGTACTTGTATTTGTATATTCCGCTTTTCACGTCACATAATAACCAATGTAAACTGCTTTAGATTACCCGTCATTGTACTTTCTTGGTCAAGACGGTGGCTATGAATTAGTAGTTGTGAAATTCAAAATGAAGTTTTGTATCCTCCATATTATAATTGTGCCATACTATGTTATGTATTTCTGCTAATTGCCTTTTCTTTTTAATCAGGTATTGTGACACAGATATATTGTACATTCGATGGTTTACAGAACAATCATCATTATAGGAAAGAAAACAGACCATATGTAGCACATAGTATAGTGATGACGTTCGAATGCATCAACTTTGTATAAATGTGCTCATCAACCCATATAAATCTTATTCATAACTTGACATCTAAAGTTGGCAATAAAAAAAAAGAACAAACACTAAATTAAAGATACAGACACAAAACAGCAATGGCCAAACTATGATCTGCCCCTCGCATTCCGGCTGTTTGAAGTGTTTTTCTTTTACGATATATTTTTCCCAGTATAAATCCACAGGAGTATGAACTGCTCATGACAAATTTGACTTTCAATTGATGCCCCCACAGGCCTTGTAGAAACCACCAATGCAGGGGATGTGCTTTCATTCCCTCTCACTTGTGAAAGTCAAGAACTGCCTTCCTCTCTAGTGCTTCAGTCAGGAAAAAATGTATTAGTCAATGTTAACAGACCAGGATCCACAGGTTTGTAAGGGGGGGGGGAAGAAAATGTCTTTTTTTCTTTTTGTTTTTTTTTTTTTTTTGGCCAAAATGTGTTAATTCCACAGCTCTGTTAAATCATTTTCATGTTAAACTTGCGAGGAGCATCCACTGTGCTGCTGCTCATGCCAGCGTCTGATTTCCGTGGCACATACTCAATCTCAATGTTGTGCTTGGTGTTGCCTTTACCTCTGCTCCAAAGGAAGAGCAGTACCAGGCAAAACAAGACGACACCAAGAAAAGAGATGAAGCCCATTGTGGTCGCAATGATCAACGTCTTTATATCAAAGGGGAAAGGGGCATTGGCTCTTGTACCGTTAGCACCAGTTTCTGAGGGCTGGTTGGAGATGAAGGCAAAGGTCTTGTTGGGCTGGTGTGGCCAGTCAGGCGAGTAGCTATGAATGTGCAGGTGAGCAAGGGAGGTGTCATTTCCTCCTGCGTTGCTAGCTATACACACATATGTACCATTGTCTTGAATTTGGGCATAGCGAACCTCAAGGGTGCCGTCTGGCAAGACAGAGAGCCTTCCAATTGTCTTGGTGGTGATAAACTTTTTCTGCGGGGACAACCACATTATCACTGGGGCAGGATCTCCATCTGCTTGGCAAGCAAAATGAACAATGGCTCCCTCGTCAACAAATTTCTGCTGGGGTTTGCGATCTCTAATCCTAGACTTGCGACAAGTGAAGTAGTTTGGCTGCAGGACATCCGGGAAGTCTTTGAATTCTTTGCCTTGGACAAACTCAGGGGAGACACAGGTAGGCTGCTGCCTGTTGAAGTTCAGTCTCCAGCGTCGCCGGAAAACCCATAACAGTCGGCAGTCACAGGCCAGGGGATTATCATACAAGGCAAGGGTTTCAAGGTTGCCAACTGAATGGAAAGCAGACTCCTCTAAAGTGCCAAGAGAGTTTCCAGAGACATTAAGAATCTTCAGGTAGTTTAGACCACGGAAAGAGTAGGGCTCAATCATTGCCAGTCTGCCTCCTACCAGGTGAAATTCCTGCAGACGCAAAAGATCATGGAGCTTATTCCCCTCAATGGTATGGATAGGGTTATATGAAAGATTGAGAAAGCGCAAGTAAACCAAGTGCCGCAAGGCTACATAAGGAATTGTGGTCAGGTTGGCATTTGCAATGGTCAGGGAGGTGAGATTTAATCCATACAAGCAATTTGGGGTCATCGTATCCAGATACGGCCAATTGGCTATTTCCAACACTTTCAGCCGATAGAGCCTTTTGAAGGAATAATCCCGTATGACATTTATATTGAGGAGGCGCAGCCTGAGCGTGATCAAACTGTGGAGGTGGGTAAAAGCCTCTGTTGGAACAGAGGACAGGTTGCACTTCTCAAGACTCAGGTGCTCAAGGCTACTTAGGCCATGAAAAGCCCGGTGAGAGATGAAAACCAGATCGTTATCACCCACCTCTAAAGATTGCAGGTTGTACAAATCCTGGAACATGTAGTCCAACAGGATGACAATCTTGTTCTCACTAATGTCCAGCTGTGTGAGATTGCTCAGGCCAGTAAAGACACCGAGCTGGATCAGCTTAAGCTTGTTGCTCCGCAGACCCAATGTCCGCAAGCCGTAAAGGTTGTTGAACGCTCCAGGTTCAATAGTGGAGATCGTGTTTTCACTGAGCTCCAGGTGCTCTAGGTTGGGAAAGTTGGCAAACTCGTCTGGGTTGATGGTTCTGATGCGGTTCTTGCTGAGGTCCAGCAGTTTTGTTTCTGCAGGAATGCCCTCGGGAACTGTCATGAGCTTCTTGCGGTAGCACATCACAGAGCGCTCTTGAACATTACACTCGCAGCGGGATGGACAGCCTGTAGTAGAGCCAGACAGCACAGTGCCAAGCATCAGGATCAGAATGGGCTGCCAGCAAGTCACCAGGTAGCTGTGCCCAGTCGCTTCCCCGGCCGCCATCTTATCGGTTACCTATGGAGACACAGAGAAGAGGGAAAATATTTAGTTATAAGTGACACACCAATGATTTAGACTACCTTCCATTGCATCAAATTTTTTTAGCTCTGAATTTCCTTCTTGTCAACAAAAAAAGCTGATTGCGGAACATTAAAATACGTAAGCTCAAACATGGACAATAGGAGAAAATTCGAATTAAGTTGTATGACATGGTTTGACATCACTGAGCTATGGGCGGATATGCAAATATGCTCTGGTAAATTCAGCAATTCTACATCATATGTGGTAGAAGTGTAGCCCTGCAGTGTAAACTTATATTACAAATATATGAATCCCGCTGCAATATTCATGACGCAGACTCGAGATGAATAGAGGTGGGTGGTTACGAGGAATAAGGTATGTGCTTGCATAGTTGAGAGTGCTGACAGTTTTGAATTCTGCATCGTGCACTATTCTGCACATGAGCTTCAAAGGGTATTTCAAATGCAAGTACCTGCTGTGAATGCACAGCATTCTACCACACCTATATGTGACATAGAGGAGGATCTTCATAAGAAAATCAAATAATTACACTAATCTACATACAGCTTGCACTATACACTCATTGTCTCTGCTGTCGAGTGCTCAACGCCATTTCCACTACACACCTTCCAGATGATCAATCAGTCAATGCTATATGTCCGTGCCCCTGGTAAAGAATGAGGGGCGCAGCTTCAAGTGGAATTAGCAGTAATCCAATTCATGCTGTGTTACAGACAGATGCTAAACACTTATTTGTTGTAGTATAATAACCTCTTTTTTCATTCTTATTATTTTCATCCTACTTCTAACCTGAATCTGCTGCGTGAGTTTTAAAAAAAAAAACAGTAGGGGGGTGGAGCAGCAGTAACGGCAGGATGCAATCAAAGACGGATGGTAGCAAGTGTGATGTATGTGCTGTGGCTGACACTCGACTCATGCAATCCTTTACGATAAAATACAGACCATACACCAACAGGGAATTGGATACAGAAAGATAAATACAGGGTTTTAGAGCAAAAAACAAACCATTTAATTCCAATGTCTTCTGTTAGCATGCCTCCAACCCTTCCACGAACAATGTAATTAATAATTGATTGTATCATGTTAGAATGTCCCGTTGTTTGCAAAGATCCATTATCGCGCAATTTACATTATAGAAGAAATTGAACATGGGAGCATTATTTATGCTATGATTTGTAGACGATGATTCTGAAATATTTTTTGGATGAGGGGTCCAGTAGTATAAGGTAGATTGATTTTAAGAGTTTTAATGATTCATTTGGCCATATATATATATATATATATATTTTTTTTTTTTTTTTGTTAATCTGTCATAGTCTTGCCAGTTGCTTAAGATTACCAACACTTGCTTCAAAGGATGTTATTTTCAACATTCAAGCACATGTAGTTGGATTGTAATTCCCTGACATGATGAAATGTGCAAGAAAAGAAAAAAACAGAAACTAAGTCCCTCACATCTATTTCACACTCACCAAGACATGTCTCTGGGGGACACCTGTCTACTTGTGAGGGCTGTTGTCACAATACGTAGAATTTTGCCAGTGGTACAGAGTTTCATCTCTTGCTCTAAATTTGCCTTTATAGTCGATTGCCACACATCGAGGATCCAAACAAGGTTTGTGAAGAAGTGTAGTGCACATGTTTGTGCTTCAGTTGATTTCATGGACCATATTACATGGGACAGATATAGAATGTAGAGTAAAGGGGAAACAAATCTGTGATATTATGGTTATATCATTGTTGACAGTTAATTATGGGGTGACATGTTACTACCATTGTGGTCACCACTAATAACTTTTTCCCACTAAACCCATGGACAAACGGACATCAGACTCATCAAAAGGGGGTTTATGGGTTAGATTTACTTCACTCAATTTCATTTTATTCCCTCTGAGGTCAAAGTTCAGAATGGAGATATGATGGTACCATCTGTAATCAAGTGTAACCAAGAGATTTCAGGCAGAGACGATGGTGTGCCCAAGACCACAGACCTGCTGTGCTGCCTCCAGCCATCCTTAATCATTCTTATTCCTTAACCCACATTGATCAAGTCACTGCTGTGGGCTGTGAGATGGAGTGGTGTGGGGCTGTGTATAGCATGATAAGACGCATAAGGACTGGCCTTATTGCAAGCTCAATTCCATCTGTCACCATCTATCATGTGGCTATTGGATATAAGTCAATGAGATGCTATTATGTCCAACTCTATTACCACTGACACTGAAACCTAATCAGGAAAATGATCAAATCATAATCCCTTGTTGCTAAAGCTCCACGACTGCAACTTCAGCGGGTTATGGACCCCAGGCAGGGTTTTCAATGAGTCCTCGCACTCCTCCACACAGGGTCAAAATACCAGAAAAATAACACTGCACTTGAGTACTCCATCGAAATTAATCTGATTCTTTATCAAAATCCATCAGAAAGAAATGCTACCAAAGCTTTTAGTCAGTAATTCAAAATATGTAACCGTGTGTTTCTTTCAAAACAGGGCAGCTTTATTGCACATGGCTTCAGCAGCAAATAAGGAAAGCAAGTGAAGACGGGGACACATTAAGATGGAGAATGCCATCCACGGGTAAACATTTGCGGCACTGTTTTGTTAATGATCTAGTGTTATCATTCCCTCGCAGGCATGTAGTCTGAATGCAGTTCTTCATACCAATCAGAACTTGAGTGAGCTCCCAGAGAATTACATTAATTGAGGTGAAGTGAGAGGGGGCGTGCTTCTCAAAGAAAAGGATGCAGTCGAGGAGAAGAATGACAGGAGTGCTGAATAAATTAGGACCCACTAGTCCAAGACCAGTAATAACTGGATCAATAAACAGAGCTTGACACCTTTTATGAAAGAATACACTGTGATCTTGCCTCATATCTGGAAGTGTATAGTGCCCTATGCACCTGTTTTAACAGAGTGGTGCAAGAGCAGCCATCAGTGGATGTACACTCATAATTAAACTGGCAATAAGTAAGCTTTTTACTATCTCGTCCAAGCTGCAGTCCAGTCAAGTTTACTGGAAATTCTTGATACATTTTGAGCTTTGTGTTCTTCGAACATTTAACGTTTTCAGTCTCGGACCCAGTTAAAATAAAATTGCAATTGCTTATTTCTTTGTATAACCAGGCAGCAGTTTTACAATAGTTTAAGCCCAATCAAAAGATCAAGCCACCATTTCTGCATAATAAGATCTAGAGTCGTATATTTTCTGACTTCTCACTCTCTATTTTTAAACATTGTGGCTACATGTTTAACAGGTTTTATGCTCCCACTTGAGGTAAGTTGATGTAATTGCTTTCTGTCCTCAAGTAGCTTTCACATACGTGTTATCGCTCCACTAAATCTTGTTCCATGCGTTTGAATGAGGCTGTCTGTCATTATTTAGTTCTACACAATAAGCACAATCAAACATACGTTGGAAGGGGTATTGTAACCACGTAAGCATCACCCAAAGCTTTAGTTTACCTGTCACAAGACATCACTCCTGAGCCGTGTTAAATACCTGTAAGCTTGTGGGAAAGCCCTGAGATAATGCTGAAGTTATCTGTAGCACAAAGTGTTAAAAGCCTTTAAAGCCCATTCCTGCTTAGTCAGCTGGCGGGCAAATCCCGAATGGACACTGTTTACTATTTGCATGACTTTTACAGTCTACCTGAGACAATTTGTAGTGTGCAGATTCCACTATTACCAATATCCTCCTTAAGTGGATGTAACAAAATGGGCAGTATGCCTATTTTTGGTATTCATTTTAAACCAACACTATATTACACATAAGCATTTTATATATTATATATCAATATAATATATAAAATGCTTATTGGTTCAATTCTCTCCAATAAGAAGCAGCTTGGAGTTATCACACAGAACATGTATATTGACAGCCACACTTTGGCTGAATCCAACTTAACCAGGACACCCTGACCTTTAGCTCCCCAAGTAGGATCACTTTCACAGTGCTATAATGTCGCGGAGCCGAATTTCGAGAGAAAGGTTACCCCTTGTGTCATTGAGAAGCTGAGCTGCCTGGTGAGACTGCCGGCTAGGGCTGTGCCTGTGAAATGGCAGGGCTTAAATGTAAGCCGATGCCCGACAGATGGACAGCAAAGCCCTAATCCAGGAGAAGAAGCTGGCTGGTGCAACAAGGTGCAGAATTCCAACAGAGTGGCCAAGCTGTTGTCCTGAACTCTGCCATGAAACCTGTTGACATGTTCCTCCTGAACTTCAACTCCAAAAAGGGGCATATATTGTCTCTGTGCAGGTGCTCTGCTTACTGATGTCCAACTCCACCACACGGCTGCAAATACATTTTATGAGAAAAGTTTGTATCTAACAAGGCACGCATCAACAGTCTTTTATGTGCAGCATGTATTCATGGATAGATGCGTGAGAGGTCATTCTAGTATTACAGTAAGTCCACCATCCTTGTTATACAAATGAGGCACAAACTATAAAGCCTTACTTCTCCTTTTCTTTCCCTCTGCTGTACACGGCTCTCTCTTGCAAAAGCAATATTGATTGAGTAAGGTTTAGAATGATTAAAGGTGATGATAATAATGCATTGGAATTGGAACACCCCATAATATGGCCTCCAAAATGACCAGTTTATTTACCCCTCTAAAATATTGAACATTATGAACGTCAGGAAGGTTGAATGTTGTACTAGACTGCATTAGCTTCACTTTATTTATTATTTTTCCTGAAAGCTCCCAACATTCTGGACGTGTAAGAATTGGTTAAAAAGGGTAAAGTTGATAGAAGTTTTCTGAACCAGAGGTGATACAGATGGACTGATATGTCCAAAAAACGCTGTTATTCATCCATTTTTGTTTTTGTCAGGGTCCTCGAGCCTTTAGAAATTGAATCCCTAAAACTATATGGACTGTTGACCCTTTGCTGTGACCTTATTGACTGGTGTGGGTTGTAGGAGAAGTGATCAATTAAATGATATTATGATCATAAGATAACTGGTTTTATT